TTTTTTTTTTTTTTTTTTTTTTTTTTTTGAGTTCTCTAACGTTGTTGACTGTAATATGTAACATGTTTGTATATATATTAGTTTATGTCGGTAATCGAGATCAATGTTGTAGGGATGTTCAAAAAATTCAATCCATTCATCGAATATAATTTACGTCAAATTATGAACTTATTTAAATTGGGTTGAGTTCAAATTAAATAAAACTGGATCATTTATTTAATTTCATAATTATTTTTATTATAATGTAAAATACCGAACCAATCTAACCCAAAAATTTATGGTTGAGTTGAGTTCATTATTTGAGAAGGGTTGTTTGAGTTGAAACAATTTATACCGACTAATTGAGTTTGGTTTAAAAATGTCTAAACCCGACCCAACCCAAATCATCAGACACCCTAGAAAGTTATTTAATTTTTAGGATTTTGGAAAGAGTTTGTGTTATCATCCAAAATATCACTGTTCTATAACAATAAAGACGCGCTGAATTGTATCGAGAACTCCTAATCTCTCTTAGTTCGATCTTCTCTTTTCGAAACCGCTACGAGACTCGTACTTTAATTGTTTTTAATAATTACTCTCGAAATTCCGAGGATAATAAACCCTAACTCTCAATACATCGATCGGTCTCGGTTTCCCATAACCAAGAAGAAATCTTGTGAAGCTCCCAATCAAAGTTGAGCCATTGATCCATTTCCAAAGCTGAGTTGATGGAGGAAGAAGAAGACCTCTCCCCATTTTGAACATCATCTTCAAATGCCATTTTCTCATTGCTTTTATTCCATTCAAGATCATTATTGAGTCTCTCTATTTCACCATCTAGCCAATCATATGGTCCCCAGTCCTCTCCTTCTTTGCTATGTTTTGAGCTCAACCCTTCTTCTTTTTCCTCTTTCTCTATATGGGGAGGGATTGTCTTCCCTTCGATTGCGTTCGTTTGTTGTCGACTTGCTCGATCGGTCGTGTTTTTCCTTCGTTTGGGTGCGGGACTGATGTCGAGGATGCCCGTTATAGGTGAAGTAGACTTGGCAGATGGTCGTGTTACTGTGTAGATTCTTCGACTAAGATGAGAGTTCCAGTAGTTTTTTATTTCATTGTCTGTTCGGCCCGGCATATGTGATGCTATTAAAGACCACCTGAAAAAGTAAATAAGAGAAAAACCGAGTTGGATTTGATTGATATGATATACTAAGGTCCACCACTTTGACAACTAAGTTGGGCACAGTTATTTATTTAGGGAGACACGGTCGAGGAAAATAATTATAAGACTAATGGCGGTGGTGGTAATAACAATAACGTCACAACTAATTGTTTAATCGATTCGATATCTGTTTATATAAAGAAGAAATCATGTAATTAAGAGCGTTCTTATGGGTATAGTTGGTATTTCGAATTTGGAACTGTAACTAGCGTGAAGAAATTAACGATACTTCTTTATCTTTTAAGTTGTTCTATCGGATCAATGGTTCAAGATCTTTAGTATTTACCCGAACCCAATGAAAAAAAATGAAATCACTCATTATAAACTTGTTGAAAATAATTCTGATCTAATCTAACCAATAATTTTTTTTATTAGTGCCAATATAAGCATAGCTCAACTATTGTTATTTTTATTAACAATTAAAAAAATTACCTGTTGCCAAAAGCGTTATGCATCTTTACAATCATTTGTTCTTCATCTGCCGTGATGTTCCCTCTCTTCAAGTCTCGCCTCAAGTAGTTAATCCATCTTAGTCTACAACTCTTTCCGCACCTTAACAATCCTTTACAATAGTACCATAAATGTCTCAAGAACATGTCCAAAAAAAACCAACAAACAAAACATTTAAGGTTTGACTTTTAAATAATTCCTCTATTGTCTTTTTCCCGTTTTTTTCATTTTTGGATGCGAGACATGTTAGGAATTTGAATAGTTAAAAAAGTAGCTCGATTAACAAACAAAGAAAAACACGAATCAGGATCAGCAGGGTCATGTCTCTCAATCAAAACGTTTGAGATTCAAACCTCACCGTCCTAGAATTTCTTTTCGAACACAAATCTTTGGTTGAAAATATACTCGAGGGAACCGATTCAAAACCGGGTTTGTTTATCATTTGACAAAACTCGAACAATTGGTAGGGAAGAGAAGTGAAAAATGACCTGCATTCTTGGGTAAGGATCTCCAAGAACCTTCACCATTGGCTTGAATATAGTTGGTTAAGAGCTCATCTTCTTCAGCTGACCACCTTCCCCTTTTGAGGCCTACTTTTTCACAACAAGGAGCTCTCACCATAGCTATGATGAAAAAGAGGGATCAGAGCAACAATGGCGGCGACAAGAACAACTGTTTGGTTAGCTAAGACAGTGTTTGAATAATTGTAGAGAGACAAGACAGACAGAGAGGAGCGGAGCTTAACTTGGGGAGCTGGTCCCTAAGTTATAGGATTTCCTAAATTGTGGGAGTAAAAAAGAAGAAGAAACTGAACGGTGGGATACCCTTATTTATTGTCACTAACTGTGAGAGGGAGAGTTAGTGTGGTAACTTTGTAGACGACCCCCTCGACTTAATTGCCACAACGGTGGAGCGTTCGGTCGATCTCTAATCCTGCAATTGTTGAATTAAAAAAAAAAATGAAAGTTGGCCCGTAGGGAGGCCTTCTTCACTTCGGAAGGTTTTAAATGTAGGTTTGACTTCAAAGGTTTGAATACCTATTCTCAAAATTGAACGAAAAGAATAGATATGGATTTTAGGAGCGTTTGTGGGTTGAGATAGACCACTTGGAATGTAACCTTCCAATACTTTCGAGTTACACGTTGATATACCCTGCAACTTTTAGCTACTTGACTCAGTTGAAAGTTCTTGTGTCGTTACTGATGCATGTGTGCATATCTATAGAACTGCTATCATTATAAAGCAAATATTTTTTTTTTACTTTAGAGGAAGTCGTCATCTTCCCTCACGAGCGAGATAATGATAGCTTTCGACCTAGAGCCCTTTGACAAACCTACTTTATTAGGACAATCATTTTTCACGTGTCGAAAAACTCTTCCTCCGACCCTAACTTAGAAGAAATGGTCTCAACTTTTGTATCACTCACAAACTATAATTAGAATATCAGCTTACACAATACTTCCAATTGAGATGATTTGAAACGTCATAATGTTGATCTTCAAACTCACTCAAATGGCTACTACAAATACTTTTGTTCCTATCTTCGCAATGTCATATGAATAATCACTCAATATCGATCTTCTACGAGTCTTGCTTGTTATGTCTCAATAAAAATCCTTCATCGTTTTGCGAGTGTGCTTGAATGAGCTTGATTCAGTCAAACCATCTCTATGGATAAGAAACGTCGTAGTTTGATAGAAGATTTTACAAAGTTTTGCAGCCTTCTTTTCATTTCCTACCGCTCGGGTCGAGCTCATCACATCGAAGCAAACTTGGCTGAGAAGCAAACTGATCGACTCGTGATGTCGAGGCGTTTTGCTGTCACGTCAAGACATTATGATCGAGTGAAATAACCCAACCACTCGCTCGAGCGCCAACTAAATTCACCCCCATTATGGAGAATAGCTATCCCTGAAAAAATGGATGTTAAAAAGAGAACTCATAAAGTTTCTCACTGACTCTCCAACCTAAACAACGGTGAAAGAATTCAATTTGGCAAGCAAGTATATTAAATATAAACCCACTTGCAGAAAGGTAGAATCAAAGGGATCAATGCAGTGGTCCAGATTTAGCAAACAGACAAGTATTCCCTCAAAAGCGAAGGAATATCAGTCGCTAGACATCAATACACTGAAACGTTGTTTTGTCAGCAACAACAAGTTGATGATAGCTGACCCTTATCCTTTTTGGGCTTTCTCTTTCGAGCTTTCCCCTCAAGGTTTTCAAAACACGTCTACTAGAAAGAGGTTTCCACACCCTTATAAAGAATGTTTCGTTCTCCTACTCAACCGATATGAGATCTCACAATCCACCCCCTTCAAGGTCCAGCGTCCTCGCTGGCACTTGTTCCCTTCTCACATCAATGTGGGACCCCCCCAATTCACCCCCCTATAGAGTCCAGCGTCCTTGCTAGCACACTACTTCGTGTCCACACCCCTTTGGAGCTTAGCCTCCTCGCTAACACATTGCCCGGTGTCTGACTCTGATACTATTTGTAACAACCCAAGCCAACCGTTTGCAGATATTGTCCTCTTCGGGTTTTCTCCTCAAAGTTTTTAAAACGTGTCTACTAGGGAGAGGTTTTTACACCCATATAAAGAATGTTTCATTCTTCTCCTCAATTGACGTTGGATCTCACATGCAGCCTCGCGGAAGAGTGGTCAGGCCAACACTAGGGCAACAAAAATTAAATGAAATGCAAAGGTACAGAAAGGAGGCCAGATATTGATAGAAAAAGTGCGTGACAACTATAAAAAGGTAGTGAAGTATGGAACCAGATCGATTCATTAAAGCAGGGCAAGAATTCTCATCATCTGAAGAAGACCTCTAGTTTCTTTCCAACCAAATACTTCACAGAAGAGCAAAGAGACCACTTTTCAAGAGAGGATGGACAAATTATGTCTGTCGTGTCACAACGTCGAACCTCAATAGAAAAGGAACATCAACCTTGATAATAAATGATTCAAATCTCCCCACGCCTTCTTATAAAGAACACACCATTGCAAGTGAAGTAAAAGAGCCGAGGCCCCCTGAGTGAAATCAAAGGTATCATTCAAAGGGCAACAAGGCATTAAAAGACATAGCTTTTTCTAAAGTTGGACTTCCTATAGCTTACAGGAGGAATGAAACAAGAAAAGTAAAACCCTTTAAGACTGATTCTGCTACCATCATTATAGAGAAACCAAGTGTACAGAGGAAACGCTGAGCGAACGATTTATGCAGGTTCGCCGTAGTTATTAGACCCCTCATTGAAATCGAAACCAATGGGGTTAACCTCATATCTACTAATTGTGAATCTGTGATCCAATACCACAATGATTGTGGTTTCAGAGGGGGGAAAACACCACCATAACCACTTAGAGGACCTTGACCCCCCCCCCCCCCCCCCCCCCCCCCCCCCCCCCCCCCCCCCCCCCCCCCCCCCC